ACATGATAGGTAGCACCTGTGTCTAACCACTAACCAAAGATGTTGTTGGGAGTTATCACTTAGAAGAGCATAGCCACACAATTGTCAACTTGATTAACATTGTGTGTTGTTCCCTTCTTTGGTGCTTTGCAGTCCTTAGCAAAATGTCCTTGTTTCCCACAGTTGAAGCATTTGCCGCTCTTCTTGAAATCTTTCATTTGAAATTTTTTTGATTCTTCAGGTTTTGGTTCTTCTTTTTGTTAAATGACTTCTTCTTCTTCTTGGAAGAAGAACTAGTACCCTTCTCAGAGTTAGTGGTCACCATATTAGCAGATGCCTTCTGGTTAGCAAGGAGCTCATTCTTCGTAAGAGTCCGAATCTCGTCCTCGATCCGAATGAATCTCTTCAAATCAAACAGAGTCGCCTGTCTTTTCCTTTTTCGAATATCCGTGGAGAATGACATCCAAGATAGAGGAAGCTTGTTGATAATTGCACCAAAAATGAAGGTTTGATAAAGATTGATCTTTTCATCCTTCAGCTTCATAGCAAGCTTTTCAAGCTCTTTAACTTGAGGCAAAACCTCAGTGTCATTTTGGAATTTGAAGTCCATAAACTTGTCAATGAGGTAAGACTTGGACAGCTTCTCATCATCCTTGTATTGATCCTCTAGAGTATTCCATATTTCTTTTGCAGAGGGTTTGTTGGTGTAAGCATCTGCCAGATGATCAGCTAGGCAGTTAATGAGATAACTCCTACAAAAATGATCATCTATAGCCCAAGAGGCTTCAAACTCAGATCTTCTTCAAAGTCGGGTTTCTCCTAAGAAATGACATAGTAGATTTTTAGGAGTTACATCCCGAAAATTACTTTTCAACGCCATGCGTTAAAGTTGGATTCGTTAAAGTTTTCTAACTTGAGACAGTCCATTCCAAGTGTCCTCACAGGATCCATTGTAAATCAGAATTATTGCTTTAAGATTGCTAGCATCTGTGGCTAAATCTATAATAAAATAATGAGAACTAAAATGCTGTAATTTAAAACTTTTTTCAAGTTTAATTGTTGTACGTTTATGAAACGCAATGCTTAAAGCAATACTTGGCCTACTCCGGTGCAAGGATCCCAAAACCAAAATACTTTCAGTAACAGTAGTACACTACTCTGGTGTGCACCGACTCAGTACTGTTATGATCTCCTCGATCTATAAGACCTTTCAGTCAAGGCAAAGATCTCCTCGATCTGTTAAAACCTTTCGGTTTAATAACCTTTTAGTTCAGGCAGAGATCTCCTCGATCTGTTAAACCCTTTTAGTTCAATAATATTTCGGTTCAGGCAAAGATCTTTTGATCTATAAAAACCTTTCGGTTCAGAGCTATGTTTCTTCGGGCATAAACTAAAGCTTTCACACTTTCAGACTCTGCAGCAGCAGCAGCAGAACAGCACAAAATACTTGTGTGTTTTTCGTATCTCTTTTTTTATCTCTTGTATCCAAGAGGTCCCCAAAAGACACTATATATAGGTCTCTAAGACCAGCTCAAAGGTTGCCCATATTTAATTTGACTGTTATAAATATAATGACAATTAAGGAAATTATATTTGTAACGACAAATCACATAAATGCTGTAACTACTGCATTCAGTAACGTCCGAACGCGATGGTCGCGATCCTGCGCAACACGAGGGTAGACTGCGAGGCGGTCGTGCGTGGCTGCCAAAGGGTGCCACGTAGCCCCGATGCCTTCGTACGAAGTGCAAAGTGCATCTCATAAAGTGCCACTTAGCGTCTCGGCCCAATTAGCCCCGATCCTAAGCCCATTGGCCCACGGCCCCCGTCCCACGACCCACCAGAACTTATGAGGGATTAATTAAATAAAAATTATTCTGAGCTTGTCGTTGGTAAGCCTCGAACACAGGACCTTTGAGATATCAAAAAAATTAACTTTCCACTACGCTAGTAAGGATTTCTAAAATATACCAGTAGTTAATAAATACATAATTTAAAAACTCATTTTTGGAAAGCGGTTTTGACAAAAATATCCAACAGAAGAAAATCGCAAGAAAAAGTTTCGACCTCAGTTAATTCCAAGTTACATTCATATTTCGGGTTCTTTTTTCCCCTCCATATTAGTGCCCCCAAATCTTTCAAAACTTGAGGTTAGTCGCCCAAAGTTTCATTATTTGAAATTATCCCCTAAACCTTGTAATTATTACCATTGTTATCTTTACCATCAAAATCGATAACCACATTTGGTTAGGGGGAGTTATTGGCTGAGACAAGTTGGGGCTAAGTGGGATAATTGTCCTAATGGAACAATTTTATCCCTTTGGGATATTTTGAGTGGTGTAAAGTAGGATAATTTAGGATAATAGAACAATTTAAAGTTTTGATTTGACAATTCATATGGGATAATTGATTATTTGGCACCTTATTAAAGTACAATATTTATCTATCAATTAAGTCTAAATTAATTTACCTAATTAGTTTAGCATATTATTTGGTATGTTATTATAATGTAATACATTATTTTACTTTATACTAAACTATAATATATTATATTATAATTACTAATTAATTATAACTATATTTAATGTTATTAATTAATTTAATATAATATATTATAATAATATGATATATTATATAATAATTGATATAATATACAAACAATATATTTAATATAATATTTCAATAATATAATATTTAATCAACCAATATGTAATAATGATATATAATATTATTATATTAGATAATATTATATAATATTTTATTATCTTAAGTTATAATAGAATTTTATAATAAAATATAATTAAAATATATTATATATTATAATATAATTTACATATATTAGATATTTAATAAATTATCTTATTTTCCTCATGATTGTCCTAAAGTTAAGAATGAGGTAATTTTTGAAGGTTGGGACAAAAAGTTTATATAGAAGTAGGATAATTTTGGGAAAAGTGGGGGTAATGTCTCAATCTCATTGTTCCAATGAATAACAACTTAAAGTAAAATCTCACTCTCATTGTCCCAATGAATAACACCATAAAGTAAAGTCCCAAAAATTATCTCACTTACTCCAAAATTATACCAACCAATAACGCCCCCCACCTTAGAGACGGATAACTACCAAAATATTTAAATCAACTAAAAACCACACCAAAAATTTAGGTTAAAGATCAGCACATTCAAAATCTAACACTACAGAATCTTTACTCAATTGGCGCTCCGGTGGAGGTCTTTAGGTTAGGGTTTGAATACAACGGGAGATTTCCTTAAGTAAAGTAACTAATTTCAGATCACATTAATTTTTTTTTTTTTTGAGAACATACTAGGGGGTCTAATTTCAAAATATAAAACATTTGGAGAGTAACATATAAAAGAAATAATAATAAGTAAAAAACTTTCCTTTCGTTAGAAATTTAACCAAACCCCAGTTACTCGCTAGGGGTTAGAGAGAGACAGG